GAGATAAAGATAGGAAACGCCCATAAGAAGCTAATGCTTAACAACGACCAGCTTTATCGCAGTTAACATCTGACCCACTATGTGGCGCTTTCATCGATATCAAACAACGCAGCGGGAAATTTAAAAACCTGATAATAAAGGTTGTATAAATATCGACTGCACTCTCATGTTCTTGTAAATAAACTTAAACAATGTAATTACGCTAAATTATTTATTAAAAAGAATACTACACTTACAATCTATTTTCGATTAATTATTGTAAATCTATATTCATGACAAATATTTTTTAATTTTTGATTATTTGTAACATTGCATTTTGGTTTTTTATTTTCCAAACGTATGGCCAATGGTATCTTATTTAAAAATGTTGAATGCAAAGTCAATAATGGGAATTCAGATATTTTTCTTCCTATATCAAATCTTTCTAACGTTTTGAAGCCAATTTCTTGTTCTAAAACAATAAATAATACATAAATACCTACTTTATAACAAAAGTTGATTACTATTTGTGTTACATACATGAATAGATTTTACCTACTTTGGTTAATTAAAGAACGCCACATTGAGGTTGTTAAATTTGTTCATGTGGAATGTGTTACTAATGCAATACGTTCTTCGACTTATTGTAATATTACAAAATATAACTATTGTCCTCAAACTTCACACAAAAACAGTCACAACTATTTCGCTTAGTTCATTTAGAAGATAACACAATCATGAACTCAAAATTTAAAATTTAAATGCAGGATTCTTCGTTATACATAAAACTAACTGACATTTATATTTACAAACTGTCCACTGCTGTCTACGTCTACAGTCTGTCTCAGTGTTGCCAGCCGTACGATTTAAATAGTAATACGATTTTTTAAATCTCTGTACGATGTACGATTGCATCAGTGAGATCGTACGTAAAAATACAATTTTCACTTTTTTAGTAGGTTTATTTAAATATCTGCAACAACTTCAGAACATAAAACAATAAAAATCAAAAACTACTTGCAAAGATTCATAGGCCGTTCGTAAGTTATGAAGGCAGTCATTTTCGTTCTGACTCATCGTGATTTTGACCATGGTGATTTTGACTATCACAGCATAAGAAAACCTTGCATGCAAAATTTTAATCACTTTCAAGTGACAGTCATCGATAACTTTAAATGTGTTTATTTAAAGTTTCATGTATTTTCTTTGCTTTTTTTTTCGTTGTAAACATTTTATAAATAGATAGATAAATTATCATGCTAAAGTATTTTTTTTTAATTTTTCATTCCATTTAAGTTATATTATGCTATGCCTGTATCTATTGTACAATTTTTTTTGTCGAAATACCATTTTTCTACTCTACTTGTACGATCTCTCAAAAAAAATTATTTGGCAACACTGGTCTCTCTACAAACGACGTATACCTGTAGTTAACATCTGAGGCGCTAGATGACGCCATCGTTGCTGCGGTCGTTGCGTTTCCAATCTTTATGTCCCTTATCTCTGGTTATGTGTTTATCATTCGTCCATTTGAATAATTAGTTTTAGTTTTTGTTGTTTGTGGATTCTGTTAATTTGTATTTAACTTTACATAATGCATACTTGCAGATTGCGTCAAATATGAAACTAAATTAGCTTCTTGTGCATTAAAGAATTAGAGGCAAAATAAACAAATGGCAATTTACTGTTTTGCTTGTTTTTTCAACGTAGATCGATATATTTCATATTCTCTAGCGGCTTCTCTTAATGCCATTTCATTCCTAAGAACCTTTTCTGCTGCTACTTCAACATTTTGAGGTATTGGTTTTTTTCTTCGCAAATTTTGTTTACTTCTAGGAATCAGAAAAGAAAATAACAAGGCCGTAAAGACAGGTATCTTCAAAAAAAATATTGTTAGTGTACCTTGGGACATGTCTCAAGGTACACTTTCAATGTGTTACACACATTTATTGAGAAATACAAGTTGTATTCTTAGTCAAACTATTAGGTTATATTAGTATGTAAATATAAAATTAATTATACAAAAAGCATCACCTGCCAAATACAAAATAGTAACTGACGCCTTCAAACTTAATAACATAGCTTCAATTGTACATATGCTGCCACCTCATGGTTACTTTAGTAACTTAGCGCTCAAATTCAAATATCAACTTCAAAAAATCAGTGTCCCAAGGTAGGCACATCTCCTCTATAGTAAAATTTTTCATTTATTCGTGTTCGTATATGTTACGGTTTAGAATACAGCACATAATAAAATAAACAGCCTGTACACATGTGGGTGTAGATAGAAGTGAATCTTCAACTACAGTTAATTAGTTTTTTCGTATTTTATTTTTAATATTTTTCAATGCATTGTGTAAGACAAAATTATATTGTTTGTCTTGTTAGTAATAATTTGTCTCTTATAAAATATTCCACACTTGATTGAAGGAGCGCCATTATAAACATCCTTTTTGCGGTACATTCCTCGCTAATTTTATATGCCACTGCATAATAATGTGAATTTATACATGAATTTTAATGACACAATCACTGGGGCGTCAAATTTCTAGTCTCATTACACAAGAGATTTTACTTTAATAGAAAGCAAAATTAATGTGTAGGCTAATTTTAGCTAACATATAACTAATTAATTATGTTTCCAAAAATGATATGTGACAACTTAAAAATAGCATTAGATTTCGTTGTATAACAAAATCTTTATTAAGGTCAACAAAAGTTCTTCTCTAAGAGTTTATAATTTATTCTTAAAATTGTATTACATTTTTTAGTTGGCATCAATTTTCGAAACATTTTTTAAATTCCTTTCTATTGTGCTAATTGAATAGCTTTCCTCGCAAATTATTTTTATTAAGGTGAAATTAATAGTTCATACTATACGATAGAAAATCCGACAATACCACATGCGATGCATGATGCATTTAATTTTTTTTTTGTTGCTTACTTTGATTCGTTAGAAAGAGAAAACTCTTTGTATTTTAAATCGAATTCAACATAATATTGTTTTTATGTTACTTTTGTTAAATGACTGCAACCGCTTATACGGCTACATATGGATAAATTATTCAAACAATTCTGCCTGTTTATTAATATAAAATTGATCTATTATACTTGAAAAGCACACAGTTAAAACAATGAAAGTAACTTTTTTCCAAAAATGAGTTGAATACACGATAAAATAGCCGAGAGTCTGTAGTATATGCTAAACAGGCTTACATAGCAATAAATCTCATGGTCACTGAGTTATTTCAGAAACAAAAAATGGTGTATGCAACAAAAACGATGATTGTCACGGCCAAATACAGCAAAAAGTGTATGCGACATGGGCGAAGAAGAGCAACAACAAAGACATTACGTTTTTCACATGATATTATCCAAGAAATGTGGCACAAAATGGCTACTAACTCATTTTCCTTAATATTCCTGCTATAAGTGTATTTTGGTGTCAAACCTTAAAATTCAATTTACAAAGAATTTACTTTTAATGACCTTCATCGTTTTTGCTTTGGACTTTTCACTTGCTTTATATATACTGTGTATTCATTTAAGATTATTAATATTTAATGTTTATCTTTTAATGCTTCTAATACGAGGATATATCAGTATATAACGAGACTGGTGCTATAACTTCTTTCAGAGGTAACATTTTATAACCCAAAAAATGAGACATGAAAGCCTTATATTTAATGTACTACCCCGCAAGTAGGCTTTGATTTAACTTTTGACATTTGTTACAAATTAATTATTGAATTGTCAGTGTTTTGCGTACCCATCGAAAAATGAAAGTGGAGCAAAGATACGCGATAAAATTTTGTGTTCGATTGGGTAAAACGCCAACTGAAACTTTTGAAATGATTAAAGGTGCATATCTAGATAATAGTTTATCACGATGTAGAGTGTTTGAGTGGCATAAAAAGTTTAAAGACGGTTGTGAATCAGTTGAAGATGAACCTCGTCCCGGTCGACCACAAACTGCGAGAAATGACACAAAATTGCAGAAATTAACGACTTGATACAAAATGATCGCCGGATTGGCATAAAACGAATTTCTGACAATGTTAATTTGTCTTACGGTACCACTCAAAAAATTATTCATGAAGATTTAGAGTACCGGAAGATCGCGGCAAGATGGATTCCAAAAGTGATGACCGATGAACAAAAAGCGAATCGAGTGACAATTTGTCAGCCGTGGAAAAGGCAATTGCAACGTAACCCACAGTTTTTAAATAATGTGGTTACATGTGACGAAAGTTGGTTTTATCATTACGATCCTGAATTGAAGTCTTAAAGTATGCAATGGAAGCATAAAGGCAGCCCAAGACCGCAGAAGGCCAAAACTGCTAAAAGCGCTGGTAAAGTGATGCACCTGATTTTTTTGATAAATTTTGCGTTACTTACGATCGCATTGTACCTAGAGGACATACAGTAACAGGGGAGTACTATTCTAATGTACTTCGAGGACCCTTAAAGGCAAAATTAAAGAAAAAAAGGCCGCTTTATCAGGACTTTGGCTGGACGCTGCATCACGACAATGCTCCGGCGCATAGATCAATGATTTGTCAACGAACAATTGAAGAATTAGGGGTTGAAATTAGGGTTCATCTGCCCTACTCTCCTGACCTTGCTCCATGTGACTTCCGTTTGTTTCCTGAAGTCAAAAAAGAATTGAGAGGTAGAAGATTTGAGTCGGATTTAGAGCTCAACAACGCTGTGATGGGTATACTAAACAGACTATCAAAAATGGTTTCTCAGTTTATGATAAGTAGATAAAGCGATGGAATAAGTGTATTCAACAGAATGGAGAGTACTTCGAAGGGTAGTTGTTGAATTTTTTTAAATAAATGTTTCGTTGTTATACTATAGCACCAGTCTCGTTATTTTCTGATACATCCTCGTATATTGTGTATTCCCCTACAATGACATTTAAATAAAAAAAAATCAATAACCACTAGCTCAACATTAAAAGAACATTGTTCATATCAATCAATTTTAAAATTATATAAAAAAATCCCTTTTTACAGATTCCCAATTCATATGCCCTCCAAAGGACGGTCAGTACCCAGATTCCCGCCAATGTGATAAATTTCATGAATGTGAAGATGGCGTTGCAGTAACAAAATATTGTCCGGATGGATTAGTATTCAATCCAGCGATCAGAAAGAGGAATAAATGTGATCAACCCTTCAGTGTAGACTGCGGGGACAGGACAGAGCTACGTAAGTATTAATATTTTGTCTTTTTAAAAAAATATTCTGAACAAAAATGGTGGGTTAAGGGAGGGTTGAAACATTAAAAAAATTCCTAACTCAAACATGGAAAATGACATCAAATTAAATTTTTTAGCAAAAATCAAGCTCTATAAGGAGACAAAGCCTACTGATTTTGAAAATATTCATAAAAATTTTAACTCAAAAACGAAAAATATCTAGTTGACATTTTTAGCAAAAATCAAGCTCTATAAGGGAAAAATTACCTTTAAATTTGAAAAAACATCCTAATAAAAATGGGGGGGTTTAAGGGGAGGTTGAAATTTATAAAAAATCATAACTCAAAAACGAAAAATAATATAAACTTAAATTTTTTAGCAAAAATCAAGCTCTGTAAGGGGACATAAAAAGTTGATTTAAAAAAAAATTGTGAACAAAATGGGGGGTTCAGGGGAGCTGAAATAAAAAAATAGAAATCAAAGACCAGAAACGATATCAACATGAAATTTTGATGGAAGAAGGGGTTTAAGGTGGGGGTCTGTTAAATTATGAAGAGTATAATATAGAATCCCGTGCATTATATATCTTAATTGTATGTTATTATATTAATTTTAAATTATTAATATTAATATATCGGTGATTAATGTCCCAGAATTAAGCATATTGTTTTAAGATTTCTTCTGAGGAATCCTGGAGGTTTCCAGCTCAAAGAAAGTTAAATAACTTAAGTTATTTTAAGTTTCTCTAAAAATCCAAAAAGCCATTGATTATTGTCTTAGATTGTGTTTTTCCTATTCATTTACTATGTGTTTTGTCCACCAGCCACCTACCAAGATTTTTGGGTTATTATTACAGATTAAATCTAAAATGCCATCTTAGTCTAACTTCTTCTTAGTAAGATAATAATACAACATTCTGACCTAGGACCCACTACAAGATTAAACAAGGTCAAGAAAGATTATATGCAAATTCATATTAATTCCAAATTTTTTTTATGAATAACAATATTTTTAAGTCTGTTTGATAATCATGATAGACACAGTTTGTTAGCCTCTTACTTTTCTCGATATTTCTTCAAGAATTTCTAGATAGAGGTAATTTTTAATTTAATGCATCCAGCATTATAATGGGTATTGCACATCATTATGTATTCTAACGATTTATCTGTTTTAAGCATGGGCGAAGTTATGTCATCAGATCTGGGGGGGCTAAAGCCCTAGCCCTAGTCATATAATATATAATATATAATAGTTCTAGAGGTATACCTACTGAAGTTAAGTAAAAAAATTCTGACGAATCTATGAAAATGGATAAAATATCATATATCGATTTTAAACAAAGTTTTGCAAAATTTCAATATAGTGAATTTGTAGATATCCATTTATGGTAAAAAACTAAATTTTACGACTTGCACTTGGAAAATAATGAATACTTCTGTTTTAATTTCGACATTAACACCATATAGATTGCAATTTGCTGGGGACTTTTTCGCAGATTTGTTTAACATAAACACTATCACATACTATAAGAAATAAACAAATTTAAAGCTAAAAAGTAAGAAAAACTCGAATTGTAATTGATACAAATTAAAATGTAAACAATGAACTCGTTGCCAAATGATGAACTGATTTTAAAACAAAATTAATAAATGAACTGAAATTAAAAAAAAAATTAATATATTAAATCGGTTTTATAAAAAAGTCCTTAAATAAATATAGAGTATGATTACATATTACTATATACAAATTTTGATTCTTAAATAAAAGGTCTTATCCACTTCTTCAAGAGCTAAAATCCGACGACGTAGCGAAATTTTGCTACTTCTGGCAACACTGAACGATATCCTACTTATAGGGACCTTCTACAAATTTCCTCCAGAGGGCGTATCACTTAGCTTCAATCGCGAATAAAGATCCTTCCAATTATATCTTCTCAAGGAAGTGTAGGATTTGGAGTGGCTTCAAGTTAGGTAAATCTCCCTCTTCTATTTGATATGCTCCTAGGTATAGTGCCCTTGGATTCTGAAGTGCTACACATTTAGTTAGAATGTGAATGAAGATTTTTTCCTCCTCCTCACAAAATCTGCACTATCTTCTACTACTCTCAGTTTACTAAGGTGTCATTTTAGTTGGCAATGTCCAGTAAGGATCCCTGTTACAAGTGTTCTCACTACTAGAAAAATGTATATTATGACAACAGCTTAAAATACAATCTGGCTAATGTGGAACACCTTGAAAGCCTTGCCAGACTCGTCTAATGACCGTTAGGCGCGCTAAATTCGGCACGTTCGATTACTATTCCTCTCCTCGTTTAACTACCTGGCTTGTCAGGTCCGACCAAAATACGGTTTTATAACCGATACAGAAACCAAATTTCGGCTCCTTTCTTAGTTTCGGCCGAAACAGAAACAAGAACTTTCTTTTATTGAAATTTGCAATATCTCATTGTAATCCTTGTTTTAGACTAATTAACTCGTATTATAAATTTTAGCTACATTTACTTATTACCTGTTTATTTATGTGATCAAAAGAAGCCATTAATAAATTTATTGACATGTTCACTTGAAACAAAGTAGAGATGTTTGTGTGTACGTGCACTGTGTAAAAATGGCACCCGGCACAGTCGCCATTGTGCCGGACACAACCAATTGTGATACGAAAATTTTTAAAAGTAGTTTCGCTGTCGGCTGCAGTTTCGGCCAGTTTTCCGCCGAAACCGAAACTGTAGTCGGAACTATTATTTAAAGCCAAAGTTGGCCGAAACCGTAACCGAACCTTCGGTCGGACACTACTTGTGAGTCTGGCAGGCCTCCGTAATTGTAATTGTCAGCCAGACGTGTATTTTCACTTACGAATATTTTGAAATTTATCCTAAGTAGATGGATAATGTTCTTAAAATATGCGTGAGTGTGCAAAAATTTACTGATAATAATTTAGGCACGTTTGGTATTGGGTAAGAAAGTTTTACACCAAAATATCCAAATTTCAAAACTTGACAGACATGCATTAAAACGACTAAAATCAAATTTTCAAAGGTAGCCATTCCACAGAATATAAAACATATGTTTTATATGCTGTGGCCATACCATGATCATTTGTCATATTTGAAGTCGTTTAGTTGACGCGAAAAACCTAATTATTATTTTCCATAAAATAAATGTAGTGTATTTCTACCTAGTTATAATTGGTATTAAATAAAATATTAACCACTGAAATGGCAAATTTTTTATATGCATGAAAGAGCTGCTCAACTGTCAAAAAAATTTTCAATATAATTTCGTTCAGGGTACCCACCAAAAGAAAAATTTCCGGAAATTTTTCTGGTTGTCATGAAAGTGTTTTAAAATAACAGCACTTGATTGGCTATAAAATGGAGGTGTAAAATTATAATTTAATCTATCACGTGACAAATTTTCAAACCCGGGAAAATAAAAGCAAAAATAATATATTTTTTCCATTTAGAAGATATTACCAGACTCATTAGCCAATTTCGTAAATCAGCCAGACTTATTATTATAAACAGTTCATGATTGTATCAATTTATATGCTCAATTTTCTGCCACACTCACTTTCCACTATCTGAGATAATCCAAACTGCTATATTTTTATAAGCTTTATGTTCTAGTTTAGTAAATGTAAAATAGTTATGACTGGGAAAATAAGTGTCAGACTCAAAAATTTTGTTTTTTGTCACTAAGAGAACAGTTTATTTTTCATATACACCGACTGGAAAAATGAATACGAAAAAAATTCACTGCCTCCTGAACTAAATGTAAAATTGCAGAATCAATCAAATGGCACGATTCTTTTTATTTTTTAATTTCTGTTCTGAAATCTGAAATGTTTGGGTGGATGTGAGATAAATGTTCGAATTATTTTTGGGGGGGCTAATTTGGTTTTTGGGGGGGCTTAGCCCCCCCAAGCCCCCCCTTAACTTCGCCCATGGTTTTAAGTCATTCAGGATTCTAAAAGGACATAGATCATACGGTATATACCAACAAGAAATATAGGAAAGGTTCTAAGAACTGAAATGGAATTGAATAAATATAATGCACTGCCAGTGTAGTTCAAAATGATAATACTAATATATAAAACCTTGGAGTGCCAAAAAAGTACAGTTTGACATTCATAAAAGACTGGGTTTGGATAAAACACAACTAATGAGGAGAGAATGTCTCAAAACAAGCACATGAAAATCTTCTTAGGAAGACCATGTTCAAAAAGAACAGTAGAACTACTCTTTACGAAAAAAAAAAAAACGAGTCAAATACAATAACAGGAGTCACGACTGAGCATGCCCTAATAAAAGGACACCCTAAACAAAATGGGCGTGTATAATAGACACCTATTGTGTCGACTTTGTTAGAAGCGACCAGAAACAGGCAAACACGACAGGCACCATATGGAAAACCACATGCTCCAAGGTCCTATAGAACACATTCAACCAAAGACCTGTAAAAACTTGTTATTGGAGACTATGCCAGACGAGCACATGAAAAAAATATTCGATAATTTATTTGCAAAAGCAGTCCATTTCTATGAAAACGTGTTCATAAGACTGAAATTTCTTTAATAATGAAAGACGGTTTATATTGTTACACGTTTTTTTGTTAAATTTCTTTATTTCGAACTTCACAATACTTATCTTCTAATAAAGAGTTAATAATGTCAACTAATGTCGATAATTCAAAAACTAACGCTAAATCAATTTTATTATATTCAACCCCGCTCATCGTAGGTTATAGAGGAATATTGGTCTCTTCTATCTAGTTATTCGTCTCAAATAATTTGAACACTGAGGTCTGAAGCCAATACGGTGGATCTGTCACAAGGTATTCGGCTAGCCTTTCAATGTTGACTACTTTCGGTTTACTTCTTGCTTACAATGGAATAAGATAGAGTAGGTAGTTGATTTTATTGAGGACGGTGTAGGGCCTTTCCAGTTCCGTTACAGTTTCTGGTACAGTTCTTTTAAGTACTTTGGATTGTACAGCCCATACCGGGACACTTCTCTTGAATTTGTATTAAGCCATTTATATTATCTTCCTCAATATTTCTACACCTCTCCTCATTCCCCTTTCTCTGTCTCTCGGCTTTTCTCTTTCTTTTCCTCGTCTATTTTTTTCTTCTTCCTTCTTCCTGTCTTTCTTTCTCGTCTTATACCCCTTTCTCTGCCTTTTTTTATCTTTTCCTTCGTCCTTCCTACTTTTTCTTTCTCCTCTTCCATTTACAAAAACCATGCTGGAGGTATTCATGTCCGTTTCGTACACGTTCGATCTAGTACAGAATTATTTGGATTACTTTTCTATTTCACCGCTGTCGCCAATTTTACACGTTTATTTGTTCAATTTCTTTATTTCCAATGCTTATCTTAATAAGTAAAAGTTAATAATACCAACTAATGTCGATAATTCATTTTAAAGTTTCAACCGCCGCTCATCGCAGGTTACAAGGTAATAATTATTAAGAATGGACTAACACAAATTCAAGAAAATTTCAAACAAGAGCTAGGCTGGCTTAATATTTGCGTAGACCTCCTAGAACAACAACAGTAAGGGAATTTGACAACTAATTTAGATCAGTACTAAGACTAGATTTAGAAAGATCAATAAGAGCAGAAATAGTTTAGTTAGAATGAAGAATCCACAGATATACTCCAGTAGGTAATATTGAAATTGAATAATCTTGTCCTCATTTATAAAAAAACCAAGCTACATTAGAAATCCACGTTTGACGATTAAACAACATAGAAAACATCTAATTTAAAGCAGCAGCTAAAACCAATGTCACTTTGAGGGCAGTCAACAGCCATTTAGGAGTTACTTTCAGAAGGGCTATCCTCATTATACGTCCCTCGTCTAAGCTTTGGAGACAACGTAGGGTCAGAAACATTTGAAACTGGTATTCCAAAGCCTACAGGAATTTGAAGCCGATATAAAAAGGCATCCAGCCTAACGATAGACACCCAGAAATATCCTATAATAAATCAGCATGCAAACATTTATTATTGAACTGCAAGATATCGAAATGCAACAAATCGTTAGGCTATAACACCACAAGATTATGATCGAGGCTTTATTTGCAGCTCAAGAATATGATGAGCCAGAAAGTGTATATAGATATCCTGTGAAGTTAAGAGACATTAGATTTCATGAAAGTAAAGAAACCTCTACTAATACTTACTAATCCACAACCTTACAAATCTTAAACATCGAAAATGAGAGCTGAAGACGTTTCGATTGTGGAAGAGTCCGACACTTTTAAATAACTTTTAGAAACAAACCTTGTTCTAGACCGACATCATAAAGCCCATAATGAAGTATAACAAGAAGCAATCACAGCAGATATGCATTCCTGAGAAGTTTATTCCCTATTACTAGCCAATCTACAAAAGTTAACATTAAGAGGCGGACATTAACAGTAAATACCAAGAAATTTTAAAAACGAACAAAATTTATTAGTCAAAAGGCATGTTTAAAACCAAAAATGCTCCTTCAACACTAGGTCTTTCATTTGAACGGAAATTCTGTATCGAAACCTGCAACCAACTGGAAGAAGTTAGGTCTCAAAATAGCTACAGGGCATATCACTACGGTTCTGGAAGAGACATTAGCAACTGTAAAGATTGGTAATACCCTGATATAACATGTATTTGGCCGATATTAAAGATAAATGTGTTCTGGGTATCTATATAAATGGAAATAAAGATTCTAGTTTCCCAACATCCTAAAGGTATATTTTGGGCAAGAAACCTTACGTGGAAAGTAAAGAATTCTCGAGAGAATAAATTGTGGCAGTTAGATGTTTGATTGTTATAGATCAAGGATTCAAACTAAAGAAAAACAAAACATGATGCTTTACATGAAACGCATAATAAATTGCGAATAAAGTTCAAAAGAGTAGACTACCTCAAGTAACTCAGTTGAAACCAGGGATTCAACTATGTTCAAGTTTTGCAGCAACATTTTGTCCTTTTTATCACAGTTATGTGCACCATACATGGTATAATAAGGGACAAAATGGCCAACATGTCTCTACAAAACTTGAAGAATATAACCACAGCCTCGCGAAACAGCTAGTTAAAAAATTGTGACCATCTAACAAATAAAGAACTAAGAAAAGTTAAAAAGTTTATCAATAACAACCGTGACATTTTTGAAACTTTAAAATCTAAGGGGCGTATCGATCTTGTCCAGTATAGAATTTATACAGGTGATGCAAGACAAATACGTCAAATACGAACGATATAAAATAGGTTCATTAGACCCTCTTGTTGCAACAGCAGTAAGTAAATAAAAAAATATACCGCAGAAATTTTAATAAGAAAATAATAATAATTCTAAAAAACAGTAAACAGTAACAAAGCCTACACAAAACACAAGGATAATAACCTTAGTAGTTGATGCCAATGATCCCGAATAATAAAAAACTCGTTTATTAAACCTGAGAATTATAAATTATAAATTTTGAGTTGGCAGCGTTAAGAAGAAAAAAAACAGTGCAGATCTTGAAGCTGTTAAGTAAAATTTATACACATTTTTGCTAGAAATCTGTATTTACTTATATAATAGAGATTAACACTAAAATTAGGTTTCTCTTTGCACGTGAAATAGAAGCAGTTGAAAACTCCTGCAGAAACAGTTTATTGTAAATATAACCCACTTATTCAACAAACACCATTGTAGGTCTAATCAATTTCAATTCAAGATATTAGATTTCAAATGCACTCTACCATAAAGTAATAAAAATATTCTAGTGCACTGGCGAGACATGTTTTATTTTATTTAAAGGAGTGTTCAATGAATCACCATTGATAAGGTTCTTTAAACAAGTATTGTTACACTTCACCTTCATAAAACAGGAATAGTAGAAATATATACAATATGAATTGAAACTGAAATGCATAAAAATGCTAAAGACTGGTTTTTCTAGTTGATGATTTTACTACTACTACTATACACAGAGCACTTAAATGTTTCCTTATGTCTTCCATATATTTTTTTTATTTCATTTTATATCCTTGACATAGCTAATTATTGGCCAGAGTTAACTGTGAAGTGTAAATTATGATCTTCTTTATCACTTATTTACACATTTTTGTACCTGTTATTGAATTTTTCAATTTCTAAGGCTATTGGTTTAAATCGTTAACGACTATCTGCAATCTCTTCTTTCTCTTTGCCGTTTTCTACTTCTGTATATATCTACTATCTGTTTTTTTACTTAAAATAGCCCAACAAATAAGCTTTAGCATAAATTAAAAAAATTCAATTACCACAATTCTAAGTTCTAAGTGATTATCATTAGGGCTTGGGAAATATGCACTTAAAAATGGTCTAAATATGTATGCATTTATTATAGACTTTTTAAACATATGATTAAATGATTTTACATTTCTATCAATTACATCTAATTAATTATTATTATTAGAATGAAAACATTAAGTTATTAAATATTTTTTAATGTTTTCAATAGTAAACCATTGCCTTCTATCACTTAAAATATGTTTGTACGCCGAAAATGAACGTTCCACTTCACAAGACGTTATAGATGCATATTTAAATTTTGAAATTAAAAGTGGTGAAATATTTGAATCCAATTCATTATTAAAGTTGCCAGATAAAACATTATTTATGCCCTCTAATGTCTCAAATCCTTTATTATTTAGTAAAACTGATGTAAATTTTCGTGTAACATTATTTTCCATTAACACAGACTGCTGAATAAAAGATTTGAAATTTTTAACTGTTTGTATGCTTTCAAATAATGCCTTACCTCGAGATTCAAGCTTAGTTATGGTTGTGGCTATGTATGTATAATTTGCTTGAATGTGAACAATATGGCTATTAACTATAGAATCGTTAAAAATATCGATGCAATTTTTAATTGCAATTGAGTCTTCTGGGTCAAAGTCGCAGATGACATCTTTAATTTCGTTAAAATTTGTCGCAATAAAAGTAACACAGTTTAACCAGGTGCCCCATTGTGTTAAAACTGGTTCTGGTGGCAATGGAATTCCTGGCAAACGATCCTTATAAAATTGAACCCGAAGAGGAGCTTTTACAAAAACCTTTTTAATATTTTTAATTAAATCATTTACGAGTGGAAATTTATTCCTAACCATCTTAGCCACCCTATTTAAACCATGTGCTAAGCATGTGCAATGGATTTAATTCGGATAAAATATATTTAAGTTACCATGTATGCAGCAGCATCAGTGACCATTAATAAAATATTGTTTGTAGGCACTTGTCCAGGTAAATGAAAATTTGTTAACGAATCGTTAATAAATCTGGTTATCGTTAAATTATTTGTTTTGTCTAAAACTTTAACTGAAATTAAATATCCTTTACCAGGGATATTTTCATCTATTGCGCCCATTATAAAATTTGCAATATAGCGCCCCTGCGTATCAGTTGATTCATCAACCGAAAACCACACAGGTTTATCGTTAATTTAATTTCTTATAGAATGGCTCGCATGAATTTAATACTGATGCGATCGTCTTAATCATTACTCCAGTTAAAATTATGACAATAATCAATATGAGACCCAAACATTTTTCTACACGTGTGTTAGGTAGATTAAATATTGCCCTGATACCATTTATTTGTTGATTTAATTTCAGATTAATGGAATTTCTTTTTAATTTGTCTTATTATTTTTAAGAACCACCTCAACCGAAAGGAGTCTGTCCAAGGTTAAACGGGTACTTTGCACACGAAGACCCAAAAGTTTGCAACAAATTCTACAACTGTATACAAGGTGAACACATTGAGGTGACGTGCACGCAAGGATTATACTTTGACGAATATACTGGAACTTGTGTTTGGCCCGATACTTCTGATAGAGTTGGATGTGATGTAAAAACAAGTAAGTATACCTAATATGACAATAACATTATGCAAGAGAATGTCTCATTAGAATTAAGGCAACTTAACATCAGTATAAATGTATTATATGAAAATTTTCCTGAATATATAATTCATGTTTAATATTATAGGCTGAGAACCAAAAGTTCGTTGGCCCGCCCTTTGTAATATTTCGGTGTAATTTGGGATGTTTATATAAGAGTAAAATTAGGATTGACTGGTAATTAAATTTAAAAGATTTATAGTAACAGTTGGGTATCAAAATGGAAAGAGGAATCCAATAACACACCGTTTAAAAATCAGTTTTCTTTTTAATTTAACCTCCGATTTTGAAAATGTTTTATTTACTCGTATTCTCGTGACGATTAATTTAGTTTTCAATGTATTATATTTCTAGGTTAGGTTAGGTTGAAAACTGTAACCCAGATATGGATCTATTGAGGCTCATGTCTTACTTAGGGATGCCACCTCTACGGATTTCACCGGGACTGTCCGGGTTTTGAACAATTTGTCCGGTGTAACGTTGGATGATGAAAATGTCAGGGAATATCTGGATAATTTTAAGCTTAAAAGGACCTAATGTGCTGAGGTCCTTGTTTAGAAGCACTTGACAGAAGGGTCCTGGTTTATAAAATTATAAGCTAAAGACCTCTTTTTTAGAAATTTCACAAATAAAGGTCTGGGTTTTAAGAAATGAAAAGTTTGCAATTCTAATCTAACTCATAGTTCACTATACACGTTTTGATGAAGGCTATGGTTGAATTAAGTGAGACCTGTTTAAAGTCGGTAGGCTCTAGTCTGGACTTAATTCTTTCCAAACCGAAGCTGGTACATTGAATGTGCTCTGCAGATTTTTCTTTCATGACAGTTCGATATGTGTTGCAAACCTATTTTCTCCTGTGGTTACGTAAACGACAATACGACAATTTTTTGGCATCAGTCCTGTGAAAATGCGCAGATATTTCCTACTACATTGCCAGTTCTGAACAGAGGCTTTCATGGAAGGGTTGGTTATAAAAGCCTTCGAATGAGTAAGCCCTTTAGTACCTCTCCAGTTCGTAAGTGCCTCCTCCGTTCATGAAATAATTCCTTTGGCAGTGCCCTTTGCAATGTTCAGGGATGATTCTGGTTCTATGAACTCAGATTCGGTTCCTCTTTTAGCGAGCGCCTCGACGTTTTTTAATTCCCTCCACAACTCTCTATCCCGGAATACAGTAACTTTGTTCCGGTCACCGAGATCCACAAAGTTATTTATACATTTCCAAATCAGTTTTGAGTCAACTTTATTGGATCTCAGGGTCTTGCAGGCTGCCTAGGAAAAGATCTTTACAGTCTTGTTTGTAGGGCGAAAATTATTCAACTTTCTCCCAATTATATAGCAATCATTTCTGCTTGGAAGATCGTAGTCAAAAAGCCTAGGTTTATTGATATGCCAACTCTTCCAACAAAATATAGAGAGGGATTAGATCAAGCATGGTCTCCATGGTCGGTGTGGTTGATATTGCTTCAGTGGTGGCAAGGTGCACAAGCCGCTATATTCAAACCAGCTTTGCTTTAGTCGTCTGTTGAAGTCTTACATAACCATGGGTTTTACCATGGTTTGGTAAATCCAGTACATCCATTGAGAACTGGTCCCTTATGCCTTAGCACACATCTTTTTGATGGCTAAGATGGATAATCTGGCTTTGTTGATGCTTTTTCCCAATTGGAGGTTCCAGATGAGTTTCTTATCTAGGATAATCCCGAGATATTTGACCTCCTCTGCAAAAGGAATAGTTTCCCTGGTCAAGGTAGGTTGTCGAAGCTTGTCGATCTTTCTTGTCTTGGTGAAGGGAACGATAACAGTTTTCCTGGGGTTAACATACATCTGCTTCCTCTTACACCATCATTTTAGAGATAACTTCTACATGATTATCTTTAATAATTATGATCGTCCGCATACCATTTGAAATTCATCCTTTGTCCAGACCCAGATACGAGTAGCACAAATACGTTTTAAAAACGTCAGGCTTGGACATTTTAAAAAAGTCAGGCTTGGACATTCAGGACATCCTTACAACGTCCATTTCACGGACGTGAACGTCCTATGGACGTCTTTGGAACGTACATTGTTAATAATCGGGATGTCTTAACCCTAGAGCGGTATCGTACGTAAAATGTACGTGTAGTTTGTAGCGAAAGGGCCCTCTCTACTAATTATTTTGAGTCGCGATCTTGAGTTGTCAGCAGTGCCTCAGGAAACATCCACTTGTGAAGATTTCTAGGTGTCAGAATTGCAACTATTTAGCAAAAGAAGATGTGGCTTGATTTTAAAAAGTATACACGTAAGAAATACGCATCGATACCAATAAGCAGTTATTTGTTGTACGTTTATCTGACGTGTCACCAAGCTTAAAATTTTAGGCTTCGCTTATTTCTTAACGACTGTCACTGCAAATGGCCCTATGTGTCTTTTACAATATGATAAACATGGATTGCATCAATTCATACACAATGTTGAAGAATTAGGTGGTAAAACTTTAACACGTTTTGAGTACTTCACAAAAGTCCTATTAAACCATGGCAATCACAACGTCAATAAATAGGATACCTAAGTACATTAAGTGCAACAGATATTAAAGAAACCTTTTAACCCAGTACAAATACCAAAGGGAGGGGGATCAAAAAGGGACCTTTGCCACCTTTGTCCTACATTAAAGGAAAAAATGGCAACTACTTACTGCGTAAAATGTACCAAAATAGTATGTGGGAAATACCAAATAAAAATATGCACATGTTTCAAAAATATCAAATGAAAAAATGTTCTCTTTATTTTTAATTTCAGTTACTGAAATTTTATTCATTTTAAAATATTTTTGTTATTAAAATATGTTAAAAACACTATTTTATGTTCCGATAAAAAAAAAACTAATGGAACAGGTAATTTTACAAAGTGTACCTGTAAAAATTTGAGAATGCGTAAATTTTACGTGTCTATAACAACAAGTGGTAGAAATTAAACGATACCGTTCTAGGGTTAAGGACGTCCACTCAAGAAAAACAAGATTTCTGAAATTAGTCACCTGTACAGTTTAATTAGGTTTTAGACGACCTACATTTATTAAACTATTTACTTGTGGTTAGTTTCTTACTATGGTACACTTTATGCTACTAATTGGTTTCAGTTTATTTGCAGCTATTTAACTGTTTTCTTGTTATAAGTGATTTTTGTTTTAGTGGGTGGTATATATGTATGATCTTGTATGATATATATAGACTTTAAAACATTATATATCATTATTATTATGTTGAAAGTATTAGATTTTATAAACCTTTATTGCCCTAATAGTCGATTTAACGAATCGTAGACTTTCTGAGCCGAAGAAAGCCATATATCAGATTTTACATAAATATTTAGCAACTTCAAATTGTACATTTCTGCATTTTTTCAAAAGTGTGTACAATAGTACAACCACATTACTGATTGCATAACTTTATGTACAATTGTAAAACCAGGAACAAAACTGTCTACAGGGCCAAATCCTATGTTATATAACCGTTCTCAACCACAAGATTACTACTAGAATTACCTGCAAACAGATCGATCTATAGTTTCTTTTTTACTTTTTAGATGTTTTAAAAGATGGATTTTCTTGTCCTAAAGAAGGTCAAAAAGACGACAACGGAAATCTCGTGATTCATCCTAAATATCCCCATCCTACTGACTGCCAAAGGTTCTACGTTTGCTTAAACGGTATGGAACCTAGAGATTTAGGTTGTACAGTAGGTGAAGTATATAATGAAGATTTACAAAAATGTGATGCTCCTGAAAACGTTCCAGGATGGTAAGTATATTCTATAATTTTGATATAATATTAAATAAAATATTACTTATGTAAATAAATATAATTTTATAAAGAAACATCTCACTGTTTGATAGATTTAATATTTCTAAGTAGAGCAAATTATTTATTGCTAAAATTATTCAGATAAAAAAAAAACCTGTATCATCGTGTATTAGTCAAATGTAACATATCAAAGTGAAAGGATCAAGTTTACTGCGTTAATTGCATAAGAGATCAATATCGTTTGTGTTACTTTTTATTTTGGTCAGCAATTACATAATAGTAATCATCTTTAATCATTAATAAAACAAAACAGCAATAACAGTGTAGTCAGAATTATATTTAGAAACAAGCTGGCAGTGGTTTTCTTTAAACAATTTTGTTTCGAACCTGCAAGAAAATCTAGAACATTTCTCGCAAATAAATAGTATGCTTTTCTTTATAACTCGCCTTATCACGATCAAAACGACCAAAAACTTCATATCCTGGCCACTAGAGAGTCAGAATATATTTTTATAATGTACCAGGTTTGTCTGAGAAATGTACCAGATTACATAAAAATGTAACAGATTCTATAAATTGTACCATATTTTTCAAATTCTAATGGTTTGGTTCATTGAAGAATAAACAAGGAAGAACCCAACAACATATTTTACCCGGTAAATGGAAACAGGCTAAAAAAAGAAAAAGTAATAGATTTTGTTTCGAGTGTACTAGAGTACCAGATTCTTAAATAATGTACTAGACTGGCAACACTGGTCGTAGTTACTATGTTATTAAAATAATAGTGGGAACATTCCAGGAATGTGTAACATTTGTGTAACGGAATGTTGATATCTTTCATCGCTCCAATATTTGTAGATTTTCAGAGCACGCAATGGCGTGCAATTTGAATGTTTTACAGATATACAACAAATATGCATTTTAATTTAACACAATAGCTATTTGTGTATTAGAGCGAAAAGTGATACTTTGCCGCTTGTAACAGAAACACAAAAATTTGTCGTAAGTAGTGTATAATGTGTTGCCTATACCTACGTTAATTATAAAAAAAAAGTAGTCAAATTGGATAATATAACGAAAAAAAAAAAAAAAAAACGTAACAAAAGTCAATTGAAATAATTATACAGGGTGTCCATAAACGCTCTTCAAAGCATGAAACCACGAAATCTAGAGCTGATTTTATGACTATTTAGCCTAAATTGTCTTAATCCAAAAATGCTTTTTAAGAGAGCTAGAGCTCTTTGAAGATAGCGCTATAAAATCGGTTTAATTGAAATACCTTCAAAACGGATTTTTATTTAATGATATTATTCTGTACATTTATTTATTTGAATCTAATCAATCAAATTTCGTAAATAAGATTTTTTAATGTAGTCATAAGTGGCTCGTTTGGGTGAGGTATTGGATATTTTTATTGAATTTTTTTTCTTTCAAAACTTCGCCATTTTAAAATAATATTTAAAAAGTTTCGTTATTCACCATTTTGGTTTTTCGCGATTTATTAAAAAACCAAAAATAACTGACAAAATGTAATAGCAGTTCTGAAATGGTAATAGAATCCTGAGAAACATTTAACCCATGTTCTAGCTCTTATAATAATCGAGATAGCAAGACAGTGAGCATCATAAGTCTTACCCCCCCTAACTAACTCGTTACTGGAGTCTTGTTAGGAAAATCGCCGAGACAGGTCGATTTTTGATCTCTACAATGTACATTTTTGTATGAATAGTTTACCCTTAATTTCATCCCTTACTGGAGGGGAGCAACCCTTTCGAAAAATTTAAATGGCATGGGGTGGTGAGTGATAGCTCATTTAAAAGGGGGTTTTATTCTCTATTCAACCGTGCAAAAAATTTTGAAATTTGCTTCATTAAGTGTTGATTTATTAATGTTTAAAAATAACAAAACCTCACAAAATAGGAAAGCAACTAAACTAACAGTGACCTTCTAATGGCAAAAAGTCTTACTTCACGTCTGAACCAAAACCGAAATCATGTAGGGCCGAATTTTAATTCTAAGGATGAGTGCGCTACGTTAATTTCCGTTATTCTGAAACAACAATTAGTCGAGAAATAATGAAACAAATTTCAAAATTTTTTACTCGGTTGAATAGAGAATTAAAACCTCTTTCAAATGAGCTATCACTCACCACCCCATGCCATTTAAATTTTTCGAAAGGGTTGCTCCCCTCCAGTAAGGGATGAAATTAAGGGTAAACTATTCATACAAAAATGTACATTGTAGAAATCAAAAATCGATGTGTCTCAGCGATTTTTCTAACAAGACTCCAGTAACGAGTTAGATAGGAGGGGTAAGACTTATGGTGCTCACCGTATATGCAGCACCAATCTGGGACACAGTGTATTTAGCTAATTTATTAAATTGTGATTAATGATTTATCATGCTATAACATACTCTGATTATTACTCCCCAATAATAATTACCCGTGTTCGTCAAATAACTATTTTAAAACGATTATTAGAATAGCAGAGTCGTATTTTTTGTTAAATTATTTAGTTTCTTCGTTAACTCTTTTGTCATTTCGAACCAATTCGTCTCATTTTAAAAATTAAAAATATCCTATTTTTTCATTTAAAACATGGCTATTTTAATATTGTATATTATTCTAAATTACATTTTTTTTTTCAGTGAGGACTGGTACCAAAGCGAGCCTTCTCCAGCACCAAAGGCAGTTAAAAAAACTAAATAGTGTTAATATGTGTGATTTTAGAAATTATTTTTATAAGTAATAAAATACACTTTTTCTATTCCTGTATATTTTTTTACAAATAACAGAGTAAACTTCTGTAAAAAGTTAAATCCTCTGATTTCCGAATATACAGAGTGAATCCTAACTTTATACTTTTTTACCTGTGTAGAGAAGTCGATAAAATAATCATCTTTTACAAAAAACTCAAAAACAAGAAATATAGATAAAAAAACAATGCTCAATCTGGGCCAAAATTTAAGTTTAGTATGGTTATGTTTTTATACTTTCTATCTTTTTTTTTCCATTTTTTCTTATGAATTACGCTATTTTTCTTGGTTATTGCTATTCTGCAATTTAATCATGTTTAATTTTAGTAGCATGTTCGTCCTGAGTAGAGTAGTTTTTCAGTATGGTAAATTATGACAACAATGAACTTTTTTTAAAATTCTTCGGTCTAGTTAAATATTTATCTATTCCTGTTTCAAAAAGGATTTATTTTCTTTGTTAATTGTTCATTTCAATTATTTACGCTATATATTTGTCACTTTGCCCCATCTAAAAGTTTCGTGCTTTGAAACATTAACGAAGAATTGCATGTATCGATGTACCGCCAAAGAAGAATTTACATCGCTTGCTACCGCTGTTATTTCTGCCTATTTTGCCATATCTGTGCTTGATTCCAAATGTTGATTAAGATATTAAGGTAAGCTCTTAAGGTGATTTATTTCTCTTATATTGTATGAATCAGCCCTGTTGGCAGCTTAACATCCGTTCTGTCACATTGTTTTGGTCCTTCGAGCCGCATGAAATTAAATCTGTATTTATAGAAAATTTTAAAAAGTGCATAGAAGACCAATATTTTTAAATGGAATATTCATTATAAACCCCAAATGCATGTTAAATTTAACAGTGTTGTTTAAATGGGGTTTCCATTTTAACGCTCTTTTTAAGCTATTTTTTGAAATGTTGTATTTGGTGATAGTCATTTGTTTCAATTTTACTGTAAGTTAGGCAGATCCGTGATTCTAAAAAGTAATTAAACATTTCTAATATATCTAAATCTCGGTCTAAAGCAACGAAAACGATCAAAGTTCCGAGTACATAGGTATGCTGTCAGAGCAATGAAGAAAAATCTATAGCAAGTTATGTGTAGACTTTTTAAATTTAAACAAAATAATAAATAAGAAAATATCGTACTGTTGACGTATAATTTAATGCATGTTAATATGTGATTACAAGTTTTATGGACAATATAATATTCTTTGTAATATGAATTATAAAGCAGAAATTTTATATGTATTTATAGTGTGCCTGTAAGTATAGTTTCTGCAAAGACGAAGTGATATATACCTTAGTTGACTCTGATGTTACAAATTAAACATTTCTGTAATTGTTTGTACTAATTCTATGTCTAGCCAATAGATGCCTGCAACTGCTGGATGAAATTCTATAGGGTATTCCAATAAGAGTTTCCGGATATTTTTTTTGCTACTTTTTTTGTCACAAACTTTTTATGTGGTATTCTTTTTTTGCTGCATTCTGCAAACCAGTACACAAGTTTAGCAATGGAGCAGTACACAGTAGAATAAAGAGTTTACGTTATTAAAACGTACTTTGAAAATCGGTCTTCTGTGATAGCTACATATCGCCGAATTCGTGATTATTTTGGCATACAAAATCGACCCTCAGAAAGAACATTTCGTAATGTAGTGCGTAAATTCGAAACTACAGGTTCTGTGCAAGATATTAAAACAAAACAGCGTGAACGTCTAGCTCGCTCGGTTGATAATATTGAAGCTGTTCGTCTAAGTGTGGCTGACAATCTCCAAATGTCTATTGCAAGGCGTTCGCAGCAAGTGGACATCAGCAAAACCTCAACATGGCGAATTTTGAAAAAGGCTTTGGCTCTCCATCCTTACAAGATTCAGCTAACACAGGAGTTAAAGCCAGCAGACTATGACCAACGCCGTGACTTTGCTAACTGGATCCTACAGAGGAAGGTAGATGATTATTTTTACAACAAAATCATCTTGAGCGACGAGGCTCATTTTCATTTGGGCGGTTACGTAAATAAGCAAACTCTCATCTGGGGCAATGAAAATCCTAGACAAATCCATGAAGAGTCAATGCATGCTCAACGTGTCACGGTTTGGTGTGGTTTTTGGGCTGGAGGTATCATTGGACCTTTCTTTTTTGAAAATGAAAACGAACAAGCTGTTACGGTAAACGCGATATCGAGCGATGATTAACGACTTTTTATGGCATGAGATAAGGGAGATGGACTTTAACAATATATGGTTTCAACAGGATGGTGCGAAATGTCATACAGCAAGAGAAACGACGGATTTATTGCGTACAAGATTCGATGGGAGGATTATCTCAAGAAATAGGGACGTAAATTGGCCACCTAGATCATGCGACTTGACGCCGCTGGATTATTTTTTGTGGGGTTATGTACAAAGCAAAACTTACGAAAACAATCCCCAGAGAGTTCAACAGTTGAAAGAGGAAATTCGACGCATAATTCGTGAGATAACACCACAAATGTGCTTAGATGTTATGGAAAATTTCAACAAAAGAATTGTTTCCTGCCAGAGACCATTTGACAGATATTATATTTCACGTATAATTGTAAAGATTTATACTTCATATTGCAATAAAAAATTGTCATTTATGTTGTAAAAGTTATCTTTTATTTATTATCAACATCCGGAAACTCTTGTTGAAACACCCATTTGACGTATAATCGTCTAGAAATCCAAGGAATAATTAGTTTACATAATAGTACTAAAAATGCATTTTTTTTCGAATGAATTTCTAATGGAGTCATTCTTGAAATTCTTTAAAAATATGCGTGGTATCTATTTGCTATTTTAGAACAAAAAACTATTTAAAAAAAAATGATTATAAAGAGTAGGTAGTTCAATTGGATCCAAAAAAGGTTATACACGAATGCACCATCCTATAGAGCTAAAAAATAATAATATTTTAGTTTTTTCTTTTTTATTGAAAAATACTTACCGATAAAAGCAATGCTCTATTCATACAAGCAAATCCATAACACTTTACGGACAATGGTTCTTGAACCTGTATAAAAAACATCATAAGAAGTTGGCGGTTTTGTTTATTCCATTGAAACCATCTAAATTGTTGTGCTTGAAGATATAGTTTTTCGCACTAAAATTAAAACAAATGTCTGAACCTCATATTGTAATTTTTTAACAAAATTAAGCCACATAATACGTTTTAATGCTCTATCACAAAAGTCACAATAGCAAGAAAGATTAAGGTAATAATGAGATTTTAAAGAAAGTATTTATAGAAAAAGAGAACACCGAGTATAGTAAAAAATATATTAAGATATATTTCAAAATATTTTCATGCAATAGATACAATAGAACATTGACTTCAAAAGACACCCGTGTAGCTAAAACAAAAAAGCCTTAGTCAGGTTTTCCTAGATGATATAAAGTAAGTATTAAAATACAAGCGGATATGACACAATTTAAAATATCAAATTTGTACATAAAAAGACATGATATAATTCACTAACGAGCATGAAGCTAAATGCAAAGCTGGATTAGCTTCATGTTGAGCTACAAAACATAAGTACTATTTTGTCGAGGAGACAAAAATTAAGGAACCCATATGTTGAATGGTTAACTCAGGTGGGGCCACTTTAGGGACGACGACTTTGAATGGTTAAAATGATTGTAGGCAAAAAAATAAATGATTTTGTAGGTTTTTTCGTTAGTTTGCATTACACCTACCTACATTTCAGCCAACCAGCAATTTGTCTTTATTATAAACTTAAGTAAACTTAAGAGGCTTAAAACTAGGAGTATGGTAACTTCTCCTTTCTGTTCTGATAACTATACACTGCACAAGCGCACTGTGATCTGCTTTAACACACTTTAACATCACTAATTCAAATGGTTTAGTCCTTCTGATGCTTCTCATTAGGTATCGGTTGTCCAGGAACTGTAGAACTTCAATAATGACGTGATCATGCAGTCTTTTTTCATGTTTTTTTGCGATGGTTTTCCTCTTTTCTTCAACTATAGGTATTCTCAGATCTCTGTGTAGGTCTGAGTTTCTAACATACCAAGGGGCGTTTACTATTGCCTTAATATTTTGTTCTGAAAACGTATATATTTATGATAATTTTACTGGCACACCCTCAGAGCTGTATGATGTAAGTCCATACTGGCTTCAGTACTTGTTTATATATTTAAAAGTTTATTTTCGATTAAAAGTTTTAATTTTGTATTTATTAACCAGTATAATTTTGTATACTTAATACCCAACTCTTCCAGTTTTTTCTTTATGTGTTCTTTCCACTTTAATTTAATATCTAGGTTTATTTGTAGGTATTACGCCAAATTAGAATATGGTATTCTAGTATTATTTAATGTCACAGGTAGGTATTCTATTGATCTTTTATTAGTGAAGTTAACCTAATTAGTTTTGTTGAACTTAATGCGCCATTTTTTGTCCATTCACAGATTTTATTAGTTGCATGATGAAGTTTTCTGGTCGATTCTTCTATGGTTTTACCGAAGGCAAGTATGACGACAGCAAATGTGGGTACTTTCATATTTTACCTTTGTGGTATATAATTGTGGTAAATAACTGGCTCCAGAACACTACCTTGAGGTACCCCTGCTTTGGTTTCTTTTCTTCTTCTTGTTTTAATCGGAAGATTCTATCAGCCAAGTAAGAGTTTAAGATGTCACAATATTGCCTAGGTAGAAGTTTATTTATTTTATATTTAATGCCCTCTAACCATACTTTATCGAAAGCTTGAGCTACATCTAGGGAGAATGAGGTGCAGATCGTCTTTTCTTTTAGTGTTTTCTTTATATCTTTCGTTATTCTGTGGACTTGGTCAATAGTGGAATGTTTATTCCTAAATCCAAATTGGTGGTCAGGTATTAAAATTTTACTATCAGTGGTTTTAATCTTTTTAGTATAAGTTTTTCAAAAAGTTCAGATAACACTGGTAACAGGGGTCTATAGGAATTTACTTCATGTGATGGTTTTCCAGGTTTGGGTAT